TGGTCTCATACATTTGTAAATATTTGCATGTGTGTGTGTGTGTGTGTGTGCATACATTTGTTGACTCTCTCTCTCTCCCTGTAAAGACATTGTATGCAACCACTGTTTATTTATCACAAGACAAACTTCATTAACAAAATGTGTCTGCGATACGTTACAAGCTCAAGAGAAACAAAGCAACACAATGCGTTCGTATGAGACACGGAGGCAGTGACACCGCTCACAGCCTCTGGAAGCAGCATGAAAATATCCATCCAAACCGGATCATTATGCAGAGGCAACAATAAACTGGTTTTGATGATAAACAGACTGTCATATCTCTATACCCAAGCCAGAGGGCAACACACTCTGTGACATCCATCTTCTTTAAGTAACACTGCTCATAATGACACTGTGCATGGCGGCAGCAACACACACACACACACACACGTTAACACTCCCAAACACACAGTATTAATATTCTCAGTCGCTTTCTCTCTGTCTTACAAACACAGCAAGATACACACACACACACAAGCATGCTCATGAAAATCTCCCAGTATTTAATACAACTTGGTAATGCCACAGGCAAGGCAGAAGTCATAATCATGAGTATGTTTAACAGCAGTGTGACAGGCGGATGCTGCTTCAGTGTAAGTACAGAACATGTAAATAAGCAGGCGGAATTATTCAAGACTGAGACTGGCTCACACATGCTGGCTGCCCGCACCCCTTCAGCTGCAGTCATGCTGGTATAATCTCAGGATTCAAGGAAGAAAAAAAAGAATCCATCAAGGTGCCAAGAGTCCAAAGCCAGACAGAGCCAAGCAGGATCTTTTTAATGTTTCCACATTATGTAGTTTATTCACGTGGGATGATTTGTAAATTCAGGATTTGGTGAAGCACATGTGGTGTCCACCAGGCTGTGGTGAGCTCAGAGGACATGTGTGTGTGTGGGAGGACAGAGGAGCTTAGTGTCAGATGTGACCAGATGTAGAAGAAAGAAAAGGAGGGGGTGTAACAATATGTCAATTAAGTGATTGATTGATTGATTGAAAACTCATTTAAATGAACGGGTCATATTCTTTTAATTATTTGGCAAATAAAATTACAAACGTTCAATTGGATCGGACTTCTATAAAGAGTCCTTTGTTTCTTTATATGATCTTTCATGTGGCAAATGGCATTAGTCCCAATTTCCAGACATTTTATGGAGCGAATCATCAGTTTATTTGATATTATAAGCTTGGCTTTCAGCTACGGAGGAGCCCTGGGGCAAAGCGTTGGTACTGGGCTCCTGGTAATCTCTCAGATTGGTCATGTGTCTATTGAACTCAATTCAAGAAACAAACTTGCATCATCTCACTGAGGCAACATGTGAAGAAAAATCAAGGAAATTATCAAATTAAATACAATATCAACAGAAAGACGTAACTTAAAGAAACCTGTGTAATACTGATGCATATTCCCAAACAAGTTGAAGTTGCACAAACCAGTTGATGCACAGAAAGAGCCTGAAGGGTTTCAGGTCCCTAGAACTCAGGGGCCCTGAGGCAGTTCTCTGCTTTGCTCCGGTGATAATCTAGACTTGGCTGTACAATGTCCACTAAAAGCAATAAAAATATTTCCTGATTAACTGGCTGGTCTCCACAATCCTAGAAATTAGCAAAGAATCAGAAGTTCCAGAAAGTCAGAATAAGTCTCTTACCATTTCTTTCTATAACCCATTTACAATAACATGCAATACCGAACCACAGCGACTCCCCACCTCTGAGAAGCTGTGATAAAGAAGCATAAGAAACATGTAGCCCACACAACACACACTGGAAAACACCACCAGTGAAACGAGGAATCCCAACACGCTGATGCCAACTCACTAATGTTTTTAAAAAGACTCTTTGATCTGAGTCTAATCTTTCTGGAGACAAACACAAAGACGAACACAACTGAGATAAAAGCGTCTATTTAAAGAAACGTGTTGTTTATGAGCATCGGGAAGTTGAGTTGCTTTGCTGAATACATTTCTCACATGTTAAGCAGGGGATTAAATTGTTTGACACTTTCTAATGTCTCAACCTTTATTGTGGTAACTAATTGCTTCATTAGTGTTTAATGAATCACCTACCAGTGCCTTATAGATCGACTATCCTGCGAGTCATTGATTAGAACTATTAATATGTATCACTAAAAAATACTTGATGACTAATTCTTAACACATTACAATAATCAATCACATTCACTCAAGTTGTTGGTACTTGTACTTAGCATTTACACAATACTAGGTAGATATTGTGCTTTTTATTCTAATTTAACTCTACTTTACTTTTTAATTTTCACTTTTGCTTTTCACTCAGTTAATAATGACTTTCTAGTTTCAATATTTAGCATTAATAATCATAATCCAGTGATATAATATATACAAAAAATGGCCCATTCGTCAAATAGAGTAATTTCACCTTTGGTACTTTAATTTTATCATGATTGTGAATACATGACTTAACAGAATAATTTAGACTGTGGTATTTGCAATTTTGACTTCAGCAAAGCACACAGGCAGTTCCAGCCTGACTAAACACACATCACATCATCAACCCAAAACCACTCAAAGGGAAAATATACAAGCCTCATTCCTTATCAACCTCATTTACCATCAGCCAATGCTGGGTCCCCACCCCGGGGCGTGCTGTTTGGACTGATCTCACGGACTGAATCAGAACTGGTCATTTTGATCTGTCACATTACCACAATAAATATATGCAACAACAAATGCCAGAGAAATGTTTGCAGCTCTGGGATGCTGGTGGAGAACAGGCAGAGTCAGCTGTTGGTGCAGCCAGTGGGATGTGATCCTCCACATCCAGCAGTGGAAACACTTTCACTCCGAGATGTGATTAGTCAAAACACGTTCCACCATAATGGCTCGTGGGAATTACCTACAAATGCCTGACAAGTAGTTTGGGCTGCATTGGAAGGAGAGGAGCTGGACTCAGTGCTGCCCACCAGCGGTAGTAACACAAGAAGCAGCGTGAACCACCAGCACTGGTTGATCTGATGGTTGCCAGACATTCTAGCTTTCTTATAAGTAACTCAGTTTGGAGTCTTGCACAACTCAAGGAGTCGATGACTTATTTGTTATTTCCTGTGGTTGGAAAAAATGGGAGTAGCGCTCATAAATAAGATGAGGAAATACATTTTTTCACATTTCACAATAGTCAAAAACAAGTTCCACATGAATTTAATTCCACATTGAATTCAGGAGAAGGATTGTGTTCACAGGATTCATGTGTTCAATATATTGTAAATAATGTAGATAAATGACAAAAGTGGAGCCAAACCATCTACACTGACTCTTGGTGGTTGGCTGCAGTATAGATCATAAACCTCCTCCATGTTATTGAATGGGATATGGACAAAACAAAGTGCACATCAAATACATTTTTCTTGAAGACAGTTTCTGTCATTATACTGCTTCTCACTAATTTTGGTTTTTATCAATTTTATTCGTTGCTATAAAAAGGGTAATATGTCAAGATTGATAGCTGAGACTGACTCGTGAAGGGACCTCACTGCCATTCCCCTGTTTGCTACTGTACAAACTGTGACTCCAAATGCGAAAGATGGAAGTGTTCATATCCAGGATGTTTTGGCTTCATTTCTGGATAACTGGGGGAAGTGGAGACATGTCGTCCATCTTTATCTACAGTCTATGGCCTGTGATACTGTCTGTGCAAAATCTTTCTCTGATAATTCTTCTTCTTTCTGAACTTAATTATACAATTTCCATGTTTGGTTCAGACGTAAAGATAGACAAAAGACAAAAATGTTATGGTAAAGTGTTGAATGTATCGTGTGAGGCAAAAATGCAACTGGACTTAAAATCATTTACACCTTGAATCAGGAGACACACGTTGGCCAGGGCGTTCAACAACCCGCATGTTTAATATAACGACTCTTAAGATAAGTAACAACCCACAGAGGTTAAATACCTGAAACCTCCCACTGTATTGAGTTAGAACTCAAGAAGCATCTTGGATGAGAAGAGAAATGTCTTCAAGAAACACTTTGGATCACTCTAAAAACCCTCAATGTGATGTCAGTGGGAATAAACCAATACATTTTCACATTTTATACCAGGAAAACAAAACGATTTCATTTTAATGCATTTTAAAATATAAATGTTGATTCATTTTCATTGTACACTAAAAAAAGTGATGTGTCAAATTTACAGTTTGTCATAAATACCACGGGCTAAAGCTTTTAAAGATGTGGGTAAGGATGCTGGAGCCACTTGAGAGCCCCATTATTCAGTTTTTGTTGTTTGATATCACTGAACACATTTATGAATAATGAAATCTCCACAAAGTAAATGCTACACAGAGCGTTCTGGGCCACAGATGGTTTGGGGCAGCATGGTGATCCATCCTCGCCTGATGCAGTGCATTGTTTATATGCTTTAAGACGTTTTGAATAGACTGTAAATCCATCTGCAAAATAAGTAACTACAGCTGTTTGATAAATGTAGATGGAGAGTATTTACCTACACCTGGATAGTAGGAGGAGGTGGAGACGTGTCGTCCATCTCCATAGAACATAACAGCGATCGCCCACTTAAAGAACGACTCTGGTTTCAGAAGAAAAGAGAAAAGACATGATTTATGATACCTACCTACACACTTACCCACCTAGTTACCTACCTACATACCTACCGTCCTACCTTCCTACCTACTTACCTGCCCACCTCTTATCTACCTACCTTCCTTCCGACCTACCTACCTAACTTACTTACCTATCTATCTATCTATCTATCTATCTATCTATCTATCTATCTATCTATCTATCTACCTAACTTATTTATCTATCTATCTACCTAACTTATTTATCTATCTATCTACCTATCTACCTTTGTCTGTCTACACTTTCTATTGGCTGCTGGCGGATGACGCGGTCGTTACGTGTGAACCAGTAAATTAAAGCGACTCTCCCTTTCACCGTGTTTTCACATAGAGAGAGAGAGAGGGTGAGAGAGAGAGAGGGTGAGAGAAAAAGGTAGATCTCTTCTTGTTCTTCTTCTTCTTCTCTCGCTTCATCCGGGGATCGCAGCTCCATGGAGACGCAGTGAGTCTGTGCGGCGGAGCCCAGAAACCAAAGTAAAGTAAACGGGGGAGGGTCGGCCACGGGAGGGGGGGTCTCTCTGAGCGAGTCACAATGCGTCTTTCACGGTGTTGAGCGGTCGCGGTGAACGATGAGCCAACTTCGCCGGTCGCCTCTCAGCGGACTGAGCCACTCTTGAGCCCCCACGAAAAACAACGAGTCCTTCCCGGCGGCGGAGGGAGAGAGAGCGAGCATGAAGAAGCCGAGCGCCGCGCTCCCTGCTGTCGGCTTGACTGGGAAATGGTAGCGTACTGTGGGGACCGCACTGGGAAGGAACATGGTCGAGAGGAGCAGCAAATTCTTGTTGATCGTCGTCGGATCCGTGTGTTTCATGCTGATTCTCTATCAGTACGTGGCCCCCGGGGTGATCAATTTCGGCTCCCCGCACGGTTATTTCACGGAGGAGGACGAGGGGGACATATTCCCCACTCCGGACCCCCACTACGTTAAGAAATACTACTTCCCCGTCAGGGACCTGGAGAGGACGATTGACTTCCAAATCAAAGGCGAGGACGTGATCGTGTTTTTGCACATCCAGAAGACCGGGGGGACTACGTTCGGCCGGCACCTGGTTCAGAATGTCCGCCTGGAGGTCCCATGCGACTGCAGACCGGGCCAGAAGAAGTGTACCTGCTACCGGCCGAACCGCAAGGAGACCTGGCTCTTCTCCCGGTTCTCCACCGGCTGGAGCTGCGGCTTGCACGCCGACTGGACCGAGCTCACCAACTGTGTGCCGGGGGTCCTCAACAAGAAGGAGAACAAGCAGAAAAACCTGAGGTAAAACTGGGGGAAGTGTTTTTTCTTTTATTTGACTATGGAGAAGTAAAGTGTTTGGTCGTAACCTGTAGTCACAAAGTGGGAAGCTAATGATTATATCACTCTAACTTTGTGTGTGGCTTCTTATCATATCTCATGTTAGATGAGTGTTCCAGTGATGCCACAGTGTGGAAAATACACCTGAAGCTACAATAATCAATAAACTCCCCAAAATACAAGCAGCATTTCTGCAAAATGACTCTAAACAGATTGAATAACACAAACAAATTTAAACATGTATAAAAAGACTAAGTTCTCATCATTCTCTGTCTTGCACTGTGCGTGTTTGTGTCTGGTTTACAAAACAGCCTTTAATGCAGGCTCGGTCCTCTGGAGAGGTCCTTATAACAGGCCTTATCAGATGGTAAAACATTGAAGCGTTTTGCACAAAATCTCAAAACTGTCAAATCTATGCCAAAAGAATGTAGCAGAGACACAAGAGAAGACGCAACCTAACAGGAGGTAAMATAGTGGTGATATAACCCCACATCTGAAGACTGCAAACACATTCAAGTCCCACCATGTGGTTAATTGGTAATGTCACATTTGGTTTTCCTAAATCACAGGGTTTTCTCTTCATCGGGTCATTATTGTGTCACCGCTTGGAAGAACAGTGTGGAAAGGACTGTGTGCGACTTTCTGAAAATAGAGGGTTGATAATATGTGTTGAGAGACAAATGTTGATTGACAATTCAGCCCTCCGCTGTCACAAATGCCACAGGAGCTCAACGGTGGTTGTGACAACTGTTGATAGGAGCCAGTGTCAGGTTTGCCCTCCCATCGAGTCCCACACTGAGGATTGGGCTGAATTAATTTGCAGGCAGTGCATCCAGGAAACGTACACTTCAGTAATAATCCCCTCGCATTGACTGCAAGGTATCCAGACACAATGTGCATCCTTGTTAAGTTATAACCCATTTTCTTCTCCGCGGCCCCCCCATTGTTGTTGCCAACACATTGCATCCCTCACACAGACATATTGACGGCTGTATCACCTTCCATTTCACTGCACCCTTGTGGTTAAAGAGTACGCTCGTTGAATGGGGTGTAGTTTCTTTGTCTTGCCTGAGCTTGTTCAATATTTAATTCTGGCTGTGGATGATCAATAGGACAAAAAGGGGGTTAGAAAAAATGTGGGGTTTTTAGAGAGAAAAGAAAGAAAGAAGGGTTTTTCAGCCCTGTGCCTATCTGTCTGGCAGCCAGGGGCGGTGGAGGTGTCGGGCCGGCTGCTCTGCTTCCCATGGCAGCTCAAACTGGGGGATCAGAGCTGCAGGCTGGGCAGGGCAGGGCCAGTAGGAGGGGGCTAGAATGGGGGGGACCCTGCGGGGGTTTGGCTCCGCTCTAATCCGGGTGATTATTACCGCTGGGACACACACACATACACACACTAGCACTGGTATTTGCTGCTGGCGTCAGTCCTGATTCCCGTGGTCTCCCCCCGGTCATAGGTGATAACGCGTCCGGCCATTCTGCATGGCGCTGAGATATCACAGTGGATGCAGGATAAACGGCCTTTCATCACTTTGTGAGCACTTTTTCAAAGCCCAGATGTGTGTGTTTGTGTGCGTGTTTGTGTCCGAGTTTGTGTGTGTGTTTGTGTGCACCTGAAGAGGCCACAGGAACAGAAAGAGACAGGGAGGCAGAGTGGATGAGAGAGATCCACTGTGCAAGTGTGAGCGCAGCAGAGAGAGGATCTTGCCTCTGGTATAATCGACTCTCCTATCACTCCTGACAGAAGAAACAAGGGACTATAAGCTTAATAGCACCCTGAAGAAAAACAATGCTGCTCCGTATTACACGCAGCTCCGCTTCCACTGGGACGAGAAGTGAATCGCTGCGGCAATGAACTATGAAGAGAAACTGAAAACACACTCTGCGTTTCTTCTCCTGTTTTTGTTTCTTTTTCTGACTCATCGCCTGCTTCTCTCTGTGTTTGCTTCTGTCTGAGTATGTTAAAAGTCCTCTGTCCCTTCTTTGTTTGGCTCTCTCGTGCCGGTGCTGCGGTGCTTGTTTAGGGACATTTGTCTCGAGGGCAGTAGCAGTGTGGTGAAGAGGCCGGAGAAAGTGTGAAAAAGATCATCTGTGTTTACAGAGCAGCGGTGAGGGATTTCTTGGCACAGTGTTGTATGCGTAGCTTTCAAATCGGCCGTGCGTATTATCAGTGTGGCGGAGATAAACAGTCTGTCGTTCCAGTCGACTTTAGTGGCCGACACGCTACATACCTGCCCACATAAGTGGAGGAAATGTTTTGGAGCTGTGTCTTGAACTTGACGAAAAGGGGGAAAAAAAGCCCAAGCTGACAATCTAGAAATCTCTGACCTCGGCAGCAACAGCAGCAGTTCTTGTGCTGAGATCCAGCGTTTCTCTCTCTGCAGCTGTGTTCTCATTCAACTGTCATGTGCCATTTTACACAAACGTTTCAAACGCTGCAAAAATAAAACGTGAATTAGGAACATTTCCATCAACTGGATTCCAGCACATAAATTCCCCCTACTCTGAACGACAAAAACACGCTTCTACAGGGAGAATATGGAAAGAATTCAAGACTATCCATCCATATTTAAGAATTGGTCAGCACTGGACGAGTTGCAAAGGAAATATTGTAGTTTTTATTTTTGATGATGAAAACCAAGAGATGTGTTTAGGTTTAGAGCTGTAAATGATTGTTTTCATCATCAATCAACTGTGTCTAGACATTCTCACGTTGATTGTTTTGTCAAAAAAACATCAACAGACCTCAAATTTATTCCATTTCCTGACAAAGACCAAGAAATCAGCAAATATTTATGCCCGTCAACCTGGAACCTATGTGAAAATTGTAAAGCACAGTATAATGTCAGTGAAAGCCTGACAATTTCCCTTTCAAGGAATGAGAGCGACAGTTGTTGTGGTATTTCTTAGATTCCTGAGTCTGTAAAGCTTCTATTGAACTGTTTTGTATTGATACTGTAATGTTCACAGGGCCTGTTGTTGGCTGTATTATGTCTCGAGTCTGTATGACAGCGTGTATCAGGGTTTCTGCAAAATGTTTCTTCCTCACGAGAGCATTAAAGCATTCATCACACATTGAAGAAACTGGATGGACTCTGTTGGATTTTCAAATTCAGTCTTTCATAAATTGTGGGAGAAAGAATAAGAAATGTGCAATGGATTAGGTTCAGTTTGGTCCAGTGACAAATGTCTCAGCTTTAGAGGAAGGAGCATTAAGGAGGAGTGAGTGTCACTGAGATGAATGGTTGGTAACAGGAGAGACAGGTCCGTCTGTTCAGTGATGAGGTGAGATGGAGACAAACTGTGGCATCGTGGGGGAAAAGAGCTCGTGCTCAGCAGAGCGCCGCTCAGAGTTGATTTGTCATTTGCCACCTTTTATATCAATTTTTATGTTCTTCACTGATCCCATAGGACACCCCCCCCCTCACACACACATTAATGAGTGTGTAAAACAAACACTCAGACCCTAATGCAAGGCCTTAGAAATGAGGTTTCTAATTGGTTAAGGAGGTTCCTATCACTTTGCTCAAATTAGAGCCACACTCTCAGATGGGGGATACCATCTGTCCTGTGTGTGATGTGTGTGTGTGTGTTCACATCTCAAGACTGTGTGTTTGTTTTTAATCCCAGTGTGTCATAGAGCGTCTGGGTAGGCGAAGTGATGGGGCTAATTTTACTGCCTCTATCTCAGTCCTCTCTCCTGTTTTTTTCTTTCTCTCTCTCTCTCTC